TCAAGTGGATCCTCTGCGATCCTTTTGCCGGCGAATCACTCAGTTGGGAAATCACAAAGGGTGCTGAAAGTTGGAGGGTTGGAGGGAAGGGTTCACCATTCACAGGGATCAGAATGTCAGAATTTGATAGGGAGAACTGCAAAGATGGCCGCTTTATGCAAATTTAAAGGAACCCGAGGCGTATGCGTGATTTTTCAAAGAGTTGAGAAGAGTTCAGATATTTAAAAAGATGATATTCGATAATTTAAATTATTTTAGCAGTAGTAACAAAACTCTTAAGAAACAGGATAAGATTCTTATCTAACTGACTTCTCATTTGTGTATACATACATCATGTATATTCAAACATTTCTCCTGTAACTCAAAAAATTTTGGCTTTGTTCCTTTATTGCCCCCTTCGGGCTGAAACAAATTAAACCAATAATTTAGCTGTCAATTTCTCAACGCTGCGCTGCCCACACAAACGTATCAAATTCATGGTCTGTCCTTCGGGCTAAAACCAGTTCTTGGCCACTGATTTTGCTGGGGAAAAGGATTCGATTCGCCCAAACAATCGTAGCTGGCTTGCGTATCCTCTGTTCTCCCGCTTCAATTGAATTTTCCATCTACATTTGACTGCCGTTCCGTATTTGCCAGGACGCTTACTGCAAATTTCCCCACTCCATCCCTTCGCTTCGATTCCTCCTGCAAATTGGTAATTTTATACGGTTGGCGGTGCCTGTGTTCGGTCGGTTGGTCCGACTCGATGGTGTTCGCTTGATTGTGAATAATACAAAATAATTGTTTAAAATTAAAACGTAAATGGTTCCAGCCATTGTGGGCCGCACTTGCTCCTTTAATTAGTAATACGAGCAGAAGCAACGGCAACAATCGAAACGGGAAATTTATCCATTTTGTAAACTGGGCTTACGTTAAAAGGATGCCGCTCTAAATCCAAATTAATTGATATGGTAATGTATAATTTCTACTGCCATTTATAAAATTTTTTCCTAATATTTTTAGGTAAATTGTGTAAAATGATATCCCGATAATAAAACAAAAGTTTCCTTTGGGCTTCATAATAAAATGCCTTTTTAGTTTATTTTATGTTGACTGACATGCTTAGTTTATTTTATGTTGACATGAAAAATCAAGAGCAAAGTGTAAAAACAAACGACATTTCGTGAATTTTGATATGCTTAAGTCAACGTGTGTCGCTTATATTTTATTGCTCAAGTTTTTAAGACTAGCATTTCGATTATATTTGCTTAGCACAAAAATGTTATTGGATTTTAAAAGTCAACTCAATGCAATCTTGTTAAATTTATGAGCCTAAGGATGACACTCAATCAGTGAGGCAAAAAGGGGTATATCCATCAGGGTTGAGAATGGGGAGTTAACGTAACATAAGTAACGCACAAGGAAATCGGAACGTAAACGGAAGCGAAAACTGTTGAACTGTTGAAATCATAAAATATTACCGTTCGCAATACAATTTATTTAAATCAAAGTCTAAAACGTTATTTACGAGCACTGTGGGGTTGGATGGGTTCGTTTCCAGAATGGCTTGTGGGTGGAGTCCGAGGCGTTCGAGAGGGTGGATCGATGGGTTTTGGAGGTTTGCGTGCGCTCTTTCATACTTTCATTCCCGCCATTGTTTGCATTCAGAAAGAAAACAAAAGCCAAGCCCCCAAAAGCGAAGGAAAAGCGCGTCACACAAATTTGGCTGACTAATAGCCGCAAATAGCCGAAAGGATGATAATGATGTGATGGGTGGTCAGCATAGCTGTGCTATATGAATTTTTTTTTGGGTGGAGGTTGGGGAGCGGTTCGGGGACCGGGGACTACAACTCCATTTGCTTTTAACCATTCCATTTCGTTCTGCACGTTTATTGTTTTGCCATGCTTTCTGCCTATTATACTAAATGCTACATCAGACAGACAAAAGCCTTCTCCATTTGCCTAATGTGTTTGTGTGAGTTGGAAAATCGAAATTCGGAAAATTCCGAAATTGAAATGGAGTGTGTCTCGGGAATTTAACAGGAATAATGTTAGTTTTTGTTCGTCCACCTTCAATTGCCAAATTAATTGCAGTTAAGTCGTGCAAGCTAAGCCCAGCTTCCATCCTCCTCTCTTTCTCCGCCTCTGTTTCCCTCTCTTTCTCATGCAAACTTTTCCTCTAACTGTCTGCGTTAGTGTGTGTGTGTGCGTTTGAGTGTGCAACCTAAAGTGGAGTCAATGAAAATTGCAACTCCCACTTTGCTCGTACGTCAATTAGACCTCCTTCCCGTCCACTCTCTCCCGACTTTCTCCTTTCACTCACACACATACTGCCAGCGGCTCTGGGCTCTCTCCTCCTCCCTCTCTTTCCCCCCGCACTATCCCCGTCCCTTTCCAGTGCAGCTTTAGCTCTTTTATTGCAGTGCAATTTGTTGTAGAAATCGTTTTGTCCGACAGTTGAACAGTTTGTTATTTCTTTTAAATGTTCCCAGGCAAAAGAGCTTTTCCGAATTTTTGTGGCTTTCCTTGGCCAGCGGTCAGGCATTGAGATTAATGGGTTTTTTCATCTCTTTCCCCTTTACTACACTGCAAATAAAAAATATTTCTGACCCAAAGAAAAATTTAATATTTGATCTTTACTGTGGCCTTAAATTCTTACACAAAAATGTCAAGTTCTTATAAATTTGACTTTTAAAATAGTACGCTTTTCAAATTTTTAAATCTTTAATCTGTTTACACAAATAAACATTACAATTAATAATAAACTATATTTTTCAGTGCAACCTTTAGTTAACCCATTTGCTTGTCATTTTCCATTTGGCCAAATGAATGCAATCAAATCCGAGTTGAAATTTGCTCGAGAACAGAGCGAGGCACAAATGAAATCATCTGGAGGTGCTGAATAAACGCAATTTCCATTTGTGAATTGAGATTGAAATGGAAGTGGGGCAGTGCCTAAGTGTCACTATTTTTGAAACCGTCGACGTTGCCGTTGTCTTCTTCTTTCCAATTCCCTACACCAATGTACCCCGAAAAGGACCCAACCCCGTGGAATTTTTTATACCCCCAATCTCACTCTAAAGTCTTACACGAAAACGAATCAAAAACAAGCAATGCACAGAGGGAAATTCCGGAAAAATGTGTTACGGACGCAGGTGATGGCTCCCATATACACACACACACTCTCGCAACTCGGGTGGAAAATGGGGGGTGGTGGGTGGAAAATAGGAGGTGGTGGGCGGTGGGCCACCAGCACTTGGAGACGCACTTTGGCAAAAGCAATCTTCTAAACAGGATAAATGTAATTGCGCATGAATTTCTACGCATATTTCGGCGTCGCTGTCTGAGCTGCAAATGTTTGTTACCCATTTGTTTGCTTTTTTTTCGTCCTGTTTTTGCCGTCGCTGAAAACCGTTCTCCGGCGTTTGAGAAGCTGCCACCCCATTGGCCCTCTGTTGGCCACGCCCCCCAATAAGAGAGTGCTCTCCTGTCTCTCTCGGAAGGTCTCGCCATCTCTCTCTCGACGGGTAATTGACTCGCATAATGTTTGTTTTGTTTCGGCCAAATCGTTTGCAACACTCTTTGAATGCCTCGTGGTTGTCTCATAAAAAGCGAAAGCATTTAAAAATTCAATTTGCCCTCTCTCTTTTTCTCTCGCCCTCTCTCGCTCACTCTCTCCCGCTCTTAGTCTGCAAAGTTTGCAGAGCTCCCTGGCAAAAATGGCCGCCTGTAACGGTGCTTAGGGGAGGTTTCTCTTTTGGGGCCGGAACGTTGGGAACCGAAACACTCGATAAGGTTAACAGCTCTAAAAAGTCGGGACAAAAAACAACTTTATTTTCATAACTACTTGGAAAGATGCTGGCGATAGGATTTAGATTTAGGAATATAGTTTTATATTTTATTGAAAATATTTTCTTATAACTTACTGTCTTAAAAAATAAATCTAATACTTTAAAACGATTTAAAAAATTAGTTATGGTGTAAAAAAGTATGCTACATAAATTGTTACTTCACTAAAATAATTCTCCTTTTAGATTTGACATCTTATTAGTTGCAAAGAATGTTTTCACCCAAATATGTAGGTCAGCTTATTTTGTTGTTTTACTAACCACTTCTAAACAAATCTTATTCAGTGAATTTTTAAAACCATACTGATTTATTATTGTTTCCATTTAACTTTCTCCCGCATCCTTTTATAACGAATCTTAAGCGGCCAGGATGTTAACCACAAAGTTTCAATCAACTGGTACATTTTCGCCAACACTTTTCTGGTCGAAAAAGTTTGCATCTGGCTGGCTGAGAAATTTCAATGGCGCCACAGAGCAACACTTGACCCCTGTTAGGTGGCAATTGATTGATTTTATATTGGCATTTCAATAGATACCAGCCGAGCGAAGCGATTCGAATCGATTTTGCGAGTCGAGCCGAGTGGCGTTGAGTGCGGCCCCACTTTAGACACGTTCCAAATGCCAAGTGTTTCCCGTCCGGGGGGGTTGAATACCTTCCACAACCCCAACCACCAAAGCAAACAAAAAAAGTGAGAAAAATCCAAAAAGTGTCTGTCGATGCGGTTGCAGTGCAATTGTCGAAATAAACGAAAAGAAATTCCAAACTGCAAATGGAATGGAAAAGAGCGACCAGAAAGGGAGGGCACCAGGCGGCCGTAAAAGAGAGAGGGCTATAGCCAGAGCAACAGAGAGAGAAAGAGAGTGGGACACACCCTCCCAAGAGGGGTAGCAAAGCGATAAGTGTGTGTGTGCGAGCTTGAGAGTGTGGAAAACCATTTAGCGCAAAGACCAAAAGAATTTGCAGGGCTGCCAGCCAACCACCTCGGTCTCAGTTTCAGTTTCAGTTCCATGCTCTCCGGACACGAGACCGGGGGTTAAAAATCCAGAGACTGAAACAATAAAAACACTAAACGATCGCTTTCCCACACACACACACACACACATTCATAGACACAGACACAGACACATACACAAACGCACGCACACACAAACACAATCAGCAGTTACCAGCACAGACACAAAAGGACGAAGGACTCGGGACTCAGGACTCAGGACTGCGACTTGTGCGTCCGTTAACAGCGGCATTTGAATTTAAATGCGAAACGTTGATCAAACGGTACAGACGTGTTTCTTCCAACGGTAGCGCTCGGCGTTTTCCCTTAACGAGTTTTTCGTGCCACGTACAAAGTGATGAAAAGTTCTTCACAATTTTTAACGCAAATATAAAGCAAAGAAAAACACCTGTGAAAAACCAAAGAACAAAAGTGCTGCAATAATTATTTGAACTAGCTAACTTAAACAAAAAATAAAAGTAATTCAAAACCATGTCTTCCTCCGAGGCCGAAGTCGACATCAGTGTGGTCTCCAGTCCGGAACCGAGTCCTTTGGGCGCCGCCGCCCGCGATAGTCCGCTGCTGGTCCGCTCGCCGGCCCGTTCCGCCGACGGCAGCTCGCCGCCCGCCACGCCCACCCATCGCTCCAATACGCCCAACACGGCCGCCGGCACGCCCACCACGTCCGCCTCCGGCGGCAATCACTTCCATCACAGTCCCAACGGAGGAGCCGTTCCGCCGGCGGTGTTGCATCACCACTTGCAGCACCACTTGAGCACACTGGGCGGCCATCCGGTGGCACTGCATCATGCGCTCCACACCTTTGGCCACTTGCATCCCGCCCACGGGGCCACACATCCCGCTTTGCTGCAACACGCCCTCACGCCCACCAGCCAACAGCAACAGCAGCAGCAGCAGCAACAACAGTTGCAGGTGCAGCAGCAACATCAGTCGCACGGCGAACGCTTGAGTCCGCCGCCAAAGAGTCCGGAGAGGAACGGCGGCGAGGAGTTGCAGGGACACAGTCTGAACAACAACAACAGCAAGGCGCTCAATCACAACAACACTTGCGCCTCGGCTGCAGCAGCGGCGGCAGCGGCAGCGGTGGCAGCCGCCAATCTGAGCAACAACAGCAACGACAGCAACGGGAGCAGCGGGGGCGGCGGCAAGAGCACCACCGGCTCCAACGGATTCACCAGCTTCTCCATCTCCAGCATCCTGAGCCGCAGCGAACCGGCCAAGAAGAACGGCGCCGCCGGGCTGATAACGCCCATTCCGCAGTTGCCGCAGCCAGGAGCCGGCGGACCACAGGATGCAGCCATGCTGTCCAGGTGAGCAAATATGTTCCAGGTTTATAATGGGGATCAGGGAAACTTTTTAAATCTAAAGTTAAAGCTGAATAAGGAACTTAATATCTGAGTTAGCAAATTTTGCAATTTATTTCCCTTGATGATAATACTTGGCTTTGACTCTTTAAAATATAAATTAAAAGAATTTAAAGTGGTTAAATTGCAGTCATTTTCAAATTAAAATAATTTTCGTTATGTAGAGTTAATAAAATGGGGATAATATCATTTTATATACATATCTAATTATCGGAAGCTCTTACCTTAATGCTTTTTATTCAATGTAGAAATTACCAATAAGCTTGTTTTGGAGCATTACTTATCAAGCTTATTCTGCAGTTCCAAATCTGTTTTAGATAACATCAGGCAATCTTCGCTCGAAACATTTTTGTACCCATTTCTGGCTCAGTGTAGACGACCCAGATTAAAACGGTCTTTGGCAAGCTGAAACCAAAAAGTCAAGCCTTGCCTCAATGAGCCCAAAGAGGCTGCCATTCCACTTGTTCGCCCTCGGGCTGGGCCAATTTTATATAATCGTCCTAGGGGAAGACAAAGGAAGGTGACACAAATCTCTTCGCAGGAAGTGCACAAAAAGCGGAGAGAGGGACCAAGGGACAAAGTAGCCGGGAGATGGTCGATAAGACCGAAAATTGTTGGGCAAACGTTACACGAGACACTAAGTGGGTGAAGATGCAAATGGCTAAAATACCAGTCCATTGTCCTCAAAAGGCTCTAACGATTCCTGACAGATAAAGCCGTTGGGACAGTGTTCAGTTGCATTTGGGCACTAGGTGACCTCGAATTTATGCAGAAAAGTGCCTAACAGCCCGGGGTTAATATTTCTCCGCCCAGCAATTTGGTCAGCCTATCGAGTTACATAACATTTGCCAGTTGTAATTCAATGCAACGTTTCGGGAACGAAAATAACTGACTGACTGCCTGATTGACGGACTGACAATGCCCCAGTATTTGTATGCAAAACGTGGCTCTTCGATGAATGAGCCCTCAGACCCTCCAAACTGACCCACAGAAAAAAAAACACACGTTTCTCCAGCTGTTCGTCCTGCAAATGCAACCTATTGATACAAAGTATGCACTCAAAAAAAGATGTACATAGAAAATATTGCGAACATCCAAAATTTTTAGCACAAGACAAGCAATGTGATTTTTTTTTAGGTAAAATGTATCTAAATAAGGATTATAATTTAATGTAATTTATATTATTTTACTTTTGATATTCGTATTTTAATTTCTTTTCTCTGTGTAAATATGTTTGCTTTTTCTTGTGCATTCACTGGGATATTAACCCCACTTAGCCGGCTTTCAAAATGTTGCATATTGAATGAGCGATCGTATTACCAGTCAGCTCGATTAACGCATGTGATGAATTAAAAAACAACGACGAAGGGAATTTATAAGTTGCACTTTTATTTTATGAGAGGGGACTCCCCCAGACGTTTTGGTCCCCCGACTTTTTTTTAATAATGATCATTTTCATTTCATTTGCGCGTGCCCGCGTCGCTGATCGTTCCGATAAGGGAAGTTAGTCAGGTTAGCCGAGGGTCGCTACTGTCCCTATCAACTCGACTGTGCCCCGTGCTCGGTTACCCCAATTAAGGACCTCGCCTTTGTCCTCATCCTTCGTCCTGCTGGAAGTGTCGCCTCCTGCGGCTTGGCGCTTGCCCAGCTGACGTGTGGCTGCCTATGTGACTGGTTTATCAGTTGATCATCACTCGGAATGATTAATGCCGGCGGATATACAAATACTGCTGAGTGATCGTTTAATAGTTTGAGCGGACTTTCCTCCCGAATTGCGCTTATTTTGACAGTCGCGCTTACGTTTTTAATTAGTCGCTGGGCTTTCTCCTCGGTCTGTACTTAATTACGATTCCGTTGGTCGAGGGGGGATTTCGAAAAGTTGGAGAGCAGGGAAAAAACCATTCAAGAGGTGTAACTCGATATGCTTGTGAGTGGATTCGAAACAATGGAACGGCGAACGGAAAGGGTGCTCTTGCATTGTCCTTTTTCTCACAGGATGGCGCAAAAAGCAGACGATGACATTATAATTACACACACACAGGAAAAGCGATGTACATGTATACACCCAGAAGTAATTACAATCCAATTGCAATCGCAATTGAAGTCCTTAACAATCCCATAATACACGAGTATCTCTCCATCTGTATCTGATTCGGGCGCTGAGGGGATTAGCGTTTAGTGGTGAAATGCCTTTGATTCCTTATCGAGATGGTGTGGTGGGAATTTCTATGGTCGCAATTTAATCAAAACATATTCCGCAGACCATCGGATGCATTCAATCTCGATCCGAGGCTTGACTTTCTCTGTGTTCTTCATTCTCTGGTCACGTGTCATTTGGCGGGGCTTCCCATGGTGGCCAAAAAAAAAAAAGGAAAAACTAATATCATGCTCTTCACAAATGTCACCATTTTCGGGCACTTTTTGTTTAGCACTCTCGGAACTGTGGGATATATCCTAAGCCGCTCCCCAGGCACTGGAATATTGCTAATAATCCCGTTTAATGACAAAAGCAAAGTTCGCTGCCCATTCGAGTGTTTAATATTTTGCCTACTTTTGCGGCCAGGTCGAGAGCCCCTCGAAAACCCGCACCTCGAAATGTCAACAATGTAAAATAAATTTTGCTTTCGGGAAGGGGAAGGGGAATCCCGCACGGGATGAACCAATTAGCGTGTGCAAATCTTTTATGCATGAGCGATTCCTAAGCGGTTTTAGGGCTCACAGATCGCTAGGTCTCCCATTTAAATTTATTTATTTAAATCAATTTCGTTAATGCGACAATTGGCGGATAAAAAGTGCGGGTAATACCATTTGAATTGGATATTCCAGCCAAACTTAACCCCAGCCATTCAGTCAAATCATATTACTTTGAACTTTGCTTAGATCTCAATACACAAAGCAAAAACCCACAAATCGCTCGCGGACATCAAAGCAGAGGCAATCCTCCGAAACCCAAACCCAACCGAAATGCGATGTTGAACGCCATGTTAAACAACTCAATTGCATAGCACACTTTTATCCCTCGGACAAAGGGATCCCAAGACGAGAAATTATGATGGGCGAGCTGGGGAAAAAAAAGGAGCCCAAAGCGAGAACCGCAAACAATTCATTAAAAGCTAAATAACAAATGCATCAACATCCACCAATCCCCGCATTTTCCCCACATCTGACAGCCGGGGGTGATTGGGGTCCCGGTTCTTCGAGGGTGCTCCATTTGGGAGCAGAGCAGGCGCACCCACTTTTAAAACATGGCCGTCCGCTTCCGCCGCAAAATGACACCAATGGAAATGGCCATGGAAATGTATACCCAGCTGTCCGCGGTTTGCCGTGGCCAAATTTATTTTGTATTTATTTCATTACCCCCGCCGTCGAGCTCTTGATTTGCGTAATTAGTCGAGCAAATGGCTACAAGCTTTTGTTTTGATTTTCCATGTCGACCATCGTCGTACGGAATTAGCCAAGTAATTGAGGTAATTTCTTTTGTCCTTTTTTTCGTCTTGCCCGAGGAGCAAAAATGATGCCTTCACTTGGGGGAAAGCAGGGATTAATTAAAAAAGTGGATTATGCAATTTACCATTGTTTTTTTTCTTGAGTCACGCTGCAAAAATCTTTTAAATACGATTAATAAATGCTGAATTGAATATAAAAATCAAAAGCCTTTAGTAAAATCATAAAAATAGATGAGTTTAATGTTTAAACACAATTTGCCTTTGACACCTTTTGAAAGTTTTTTAATAGTTTTCTCAACTTAAGTGAAAATTCATACACTATTTGGCAAACCCTTTAACTACACTTTGTCCCAAAAATCAATAGCAATATCTCGGTTCAGAGCCTGATTTCTGTGGTCGTGCTCGTAACCTGAGAGGAGGTCCTCCTATTTTTGTCTTTTTGTGGCTGTTTGGGGTCTGGCTTCCGGCTGCTTCGCAACTAACCGAAAGCCAAAGCGGATTTCTCTCAATTGCCGCTGTAAACATGAAGCCCATTAGAAGTGATTTGAGCTGGCAACTTGGGGAAGCCCCAGAAGGGTCCTCCTCATAATTTGCCAGGCCGGGCTGAAAGTAAACTTAATTGAAAATCATTACTGCTGGCAAGTGGAAAAGTGGGGAAAGTGGCAACGGGAATCGGCGCAAACGAAGAGGTGGTGGCTTTCCCGCCCACCTGGCTATTGATTTCCACACCTGATGCACCCTTGGCCGCAGCGAAAGAGGTCAACTAAATGTTAATGTCACACATACACACACACTGATGCATACTGAATGTCTGGTCGAGGTGGTTGGGTTGCAGTTGCACCCTCGAAAAGAAATCACAGTCGTCTGCCCACGGGTCACCTGCCCAAAGGGTCAAAGTTTGTGGGGAAGGCTTAGACCAACCGTCCGGTAAAAGCGAAATGCGAAATGCAAAAGCAAAACGAGCTTAAGGGGTAGGCACTATACGATATATATGTGTACCATTCCGAACCATATTGTGCGAATTGGCATTTTAGAACGGTGAGAATGCCGTTCGTGCGGCTTACATTTAACACCAAAGTTCAGTGGGTGCGTGGGAAGCTTAAAAAACGGTAAATAAAAAACCAATGAATCAATCAGAATCGATGAGACAAAACCAACTTTGGCCAATTACGTTCCGACTGTTTTGACATGCCAAAAAAGAGAGAAAAGCAACCCAGCCAAACCCACCCCAGATAAATCTGCTCAAGGCGAATATAGAACACATTATAACGAAAAGTGTTTCGTCTTGCCAGCATAAATAAATAAAATGTATTTATAAAGATGCTTTTAAGCCAGTAAGTTAACAAGGTTACACACTCAAGTACACGAGGAGAAAATGAAAGTACATATTATCTATTATCTAATGTTGTAAGGAGATATTTAAAATGGTTATTTAATTTAAAAATTAAATACAATTTTATAATTTAAACGGAAATATTAATGATTTCAGCTTAAATAGTATTAATTACGAATTCATTTATACAATGTATCAATGCTGATAAGATTGTTTTTGAGTGTATCCTAATATATACTCTGCTGGCAGGGTTGAGTGGGCCAAATTCTTAACAGCTGTTGTCAGTTATGGGGTTGTTAAGGGTCGCCAGCCTCCTTGATTTTTCCTCCTTCCCCTCCGGCGAACTTTGATGCCTCAACTTTCTTCGGCTGAACAACTTTTGGCCGTCGGCAAAATGGTAAATGCCTAATGGCCTCTTAACTTGGGCCCGCATTTTGGGATGGGGGGCTCTTTTCACGTCTTGATTTTCTGGCAATCATGGGAATGCATAATTGATGGCGTTATTAACCAGTATTTTTCCATCTCCTTGCAGGCTGGGCTTCATCTCTCAGTGGGGAGCTTTGGCGGGTCGCTATGCCGCCCTCTGTCCGCCCGGATGGCCCTGGGCCCCCCAGCGACTGCCCTTCCACAGTCCCACTCATGGTAAGTTGATTAAAAAATAGCCAAGAGCCAAGAGCCAAAAGCCAACAACATACTGGCAACTGGCAAGTGGCAAGTGGCAACTGGCAATGGAGTTTTCCGACCCGTTCAAATTAAGACGACTGAACTGAACTGAACTGTACTGAGCACATGCCACAGCGGCTTAGCAATCGTTGCATCCGCCCTTTTATTTTCGCCAGGAATGTGATGTGTCAGGCATTCCTCGCAGTACACTAACCGAAAAGAATAGTAAAACAATGAATTGGGTGTTAAAATTAATAATAACACAGTTTCCAATTAAAAGTATTAAAATACCCAATAAAATTAACAATTTAGTGACTTGAAATTGTTAGTACCTTCACAAATATTTATACAATTTTAATGTTTTTTTTCTGTGAAAGCTGCATTTTTGGCATCACCATTAGAATAGCATAATTTTTTGGTAAATAACACAATTAAAATATATACCAAGAAAGTTCAGATTTCAAAAATTAGATTACATTAAATTATTTAATTTCTCTTTAATTTTAAGTAGGTTTTTTGTTAGTGCTCTGGAATGCCGTTGCATTCGACTTAAAGTTAAGTTGTTTAGTGGACGGCAGCGACTAATGCCTCAAAGAATTTCGCCCCAGAAGCAGACTATAGGCAAATGTCTTAAGCTCACCCACACATTCACGAAATGAAATGGAAGCCAAGTGAGACGACTGCCTTAATCGTCATTTGCAATTAATTGCAATTTGTAATCGAGTATCGAGTTACGGACAAAGCGTTTGACATGTTTCGCCGTAGAGTGCAACTGCAAATGGAAATGCGAATGCGAATGCAGTGGTTGCTGCAGCAGTGAGTGCATTTTAAGCCCGTTTAATTGGCCCCTTTGGCATTAAGAGTCATTGCAATTGCATTTGTTCATGTAAATTGGCCTTAAGTTCTTCACCTTTGCAGCCACTCCAATGGCCAAATGGCAATTGCCAACTGCGGCAGCTATCCTTACGGCTAGTTGAGTTTCCGGGTGAAAGTTTTCAGCCGGCGTGCTATTAAGGGATTTAATTTTTTCTGCTGCCCGAAATCCATTCAAGGCAAATTACGGCAATTTAAACTTTTCAAATGAGATCAAAACTAAAAGCTTCGATAAAAAGAAAATCGGCCAAGCTGACTGACAGCCATTTTAAATGGTAATTTAATGCGCAGACAGAGCAGGGATTGCTATGCTATATTATACTATCAGTATGTATATATGTGAGTTTATCTATATATATATATATGTATATGTATAAATATATATGGAGATGTATACTCTCGGCGTCTGCGCTTTAGAAGCCCACAGCAATCACGAATGACACAAAAAATAAAAAAGCTGGGGCGACAAGTGTGAGGTTAAGTGTTGCAGCTTAAATCTCTGCACACACAGATACAGAGATAGCGAGTCTTGGAGCAGCAACCCTTAGGAGGAACCACCCCAGCACCACAGTACCACCCACAAGTACACCCAACCACCCAGACTGACAAATCAACTAATACAATTTAAGCTCTTTGCCTTCGACTCTCTTTCTAACTGTTTTTCTCTCTCCATTTTTTGACGCTCTCTCTCTCTCTCTCTATTTGCAGACAGTTCCTCGACGAACACAACAGAGAATCCACCATCGCCCACTTCCATGAGCCCGAACAACAACAATAGCAGCAGCAACAACAACAACAATAGCAACACCACTGCCAACTCGAACCAGGCCAGCAAATCGCCACCGCACCACCCACTCCACCCACTGTACCACCCACTCAGCTCGCAGCAGCAACAGCAGCAGCAGCAGCAACATCAACAGCAGCAGCAACAGCAACAGCATCCACAGCAGCAGCAACAGCATCCACATCAGCCCACCACGCCCACCAGCAGCAGCAGCAGCGGAGGAGGCGGCGGAGGCACCAGTCTCGCCCACCATCCGCATCCGCATCCGCACTTGGCCGGATCACATGGCGGATACTTGCTGCCCAGCAGCTCCAACGAATCGGATGATGAGGGCGAGGAGATCATCGAGGAGGACGATGGAACGGATGGTCCATCGGACAGCTCCTCTCCCCACGGCGATGGCAACTCGAAGCGGAAGAAGAAAACCAGGACGGTGTTCTCCCGGGCACAGGTTTTCCAGCTGGAGTCCACCTTCGATCTGAAGCGGTATCTCAGCTCCTCGGAGCGAGCGGGTTTGGCTGCCTCCCTCCGTTTGACCGAAACGCAGGTGAAGATCTGGTTCCAGAATCGCCGGAACAAGTGGAAGCGTCAGCTGGCCGCCGAACTGGAGGCAGCCAACATGGCCAACATGGCGCATGCGGCACAGAGACTGGTGCGTGTACCGGTGCTCTATCATGATGGAACCACGGCGGGATTTGTGCCACCGCCGCCGCCGCACCACCACCCGATGCAGTATTATGCGGCGGCACGCAACACCAGCCCCCCGCGACCGCCCCTCTCGTCGCTGGTATAGGGCGTGGGGTGCCTGGCGGCGCCCATGTCGCTGCTGAAGCCGCCCACGCCCATGGTGCATCCGCCACAGCCACATCAGCATCCACATCCACAGTCGCAACCACCGCCGCCGCCACGCCCCTTTTTGGCCTGCGATCCAATGCCGGCGGAGGCGGAGATGGCCGACATGGACTCCGATTCGGAGCAGGAGCGTACGCATCTGGACGACGAGGATGCGGCCATCGATGTGGAGGCGGATGAGGAGCAGGAGCCCGGCTCGCCACTACCATCAGCCACGCCCCCCAAGGGCGGCCTTTGCCTGGAAAGCAAGGAGCAGTTCGGGCAGCACAAGGAGGTCAGCTCGCCTGCCGCGGAAAAATCCGCCAACCAAAAGGCCTACTGAGCCAAATCGAACCAAGTGGTGGCACGGAGGAGAAAGCTTTCCAAAATATGTTTCAGGGGTTTCACATTATTTCCTAAAGTGTAACAAAAATTTAAAATACATTTGAGAACAATGAAATGTTTGGTTACCTTTCTTATGTAAAGGTAATTCAAAACAGTTATTCAGCATTCTGAAAATAAAATTGGAAAGGTTTTTTATATATATGTATTGTATAGTACATAATCATCCCAGTTAGGAATCAAATTTAGATAGTGCTTCTCCAATCCGTGCACAACCACATCAATTGGTTTCAAGTTTTTATGATAGTTTGTTCCTAAAATAAAACCCCTGTAAATATTAACAACTCAAGCTCCTTGTAAATTTAAATGTCTCTTGCTCAATAAGTTTAGGCTTTAAAAAGCCCCGCGCCATGTACATAAAACCAATGAAAAGTGGATTGCGTGGGGCGCTTGATTTTTCGTACCGTTTTTGTTTTTGGCTTTTGAATCTTTAAATTGCTGGTCAAATGTTAGTTTAGTTCGATATGCTAAGCCAAGCTCTTTCTGGGCCAAGGCAATCAATGTTAGTTTAGTGCTATTCGTAAGATTAAGTGTGTCAAGCAATTACCAAATAATTAGTTAAATTATTTATACTTTTAATCGAATGTTAACATAATCCAAACTTCAACTGAAACCAAACCAAACTCATAAGCGTACACACACACAGACACATCGACAGACAAGAAATGCTTATAAATATACAAATAACAAATTATACATATAAAGGTATTAATAAATTATATAAACATATAGAAAAAAGCAAAAATAAATGGGTGTTGATTCTTAATGCTCTAAGCGGTTTATTGGAAGCTATTCACTTTTTTTTGTTCATCAAAGGCGTTTAATATTTTAATTTTATGGAGAGGATATAAAGCTATAAAATGTATTCGTTTTTGAAGGGTTAAATGTGTTAATCGATATTTGTATCTACTGCTGGGGTCAAGTTAAATGAAATGTAATCCTTCCGCTTCCAGTTTTTAACCGATCCCAACCCCTTTGTGCAATTGCAGTCAACCTTTCCATCTGTCCACATATACATATATTGTCCCTGGATCGAATCTTGCGCCCAGATCCCATCCTCTATATCTTCGTGTTGTATAGCAATTTGTTGGCATTTGATACAAATGTTTTTCCATGGATTTATCCCGGCCATTTTGCCTTCGCCTGAAAGCGCTATTTGCGTTTAATTGCCAACGCAAATAAACCCGTACATCCTTCGAACACTCACACGCACACACACACAGTTACACACTCACACATACCATGCCAGAACCCGGCTATAACAATGCCGGTAACTGAACAGCTTTTGCCACAATTGCTGCAATGCATGTTGCTGTTGCTGCTTTTTGTTTTTACTTGCATTGCAGGCGTTTTAAGTTGCCATTTATTGTGCAGTTTGTTGCAATTTAGCCGCGCCGAGCCCCCATTTCCTGGGCCCCCTTGGGTCCTTGGGGCCTTTTTGCAGTTCGAGGTTCGAGTTTCGCTCCGCATCGCGTGTTAAATTGCAAAAATAAATTGCGAATTGTGCGCCCGCAAAATAAATGGCAATAAAAATGCATAAAATGCTTTTTTCGCAACGCCTAACAAGCGGCTGCAAGTTTGAATTACCAAACGCTCGCATAACTGCGATTCACCAGATATATCTGGGCCCAAACGCATATAGATATATATACTTGTATGTGCATAATTATAGGCGATTGTGTGGAGTGTTGCTTTTCACACGACTGCGCATAAATGGCGGGCGTTAAAATGTTTTTATTGTACGAATAAATGCATGCCCGTTTGATGCGCTTATTTATTTGCAGCCAATCGTTTGTTTATTGCCTTGTTTTTCATCTGTTGGCCGAAGGCCGGATTTGGCCAGCACTTTAAGGATTGCTTATTTCTGTGAAATTCTGTAATCTATTCTGTTGTCAATCCAAGATCGGATAAAGCCGCTCTTGGGGATTAGGCTTTCCATTTACTGTCCTCAAAATGAATTTCGCCCACAATGGGACCTTGCCATTGTCCATTGGCCCTCTGTTAAAAGCCCAAAAAAAAGGGGTTCAGCCTTCAGCCTTGCCATTTTTGTTTCCAGCATTTTTTTTGTACAAGCCAACTGAACAAATTAGGCAATCTTTTATTCGGCACTCCTCCTGCCATCGGATGCTCTCCGCAACATTTTTGTATGGATGCAGTCAAGTGCTTGAGCATTTTATTTAAGCGCATGAATGGATTTGATGGCTTTCCTTGGCTGAATGCGAAATGTGCCCGAAAAGGAGCAGAGCGAAAAAAAAAATATATATTTCAATTCATCCCATAAAATGCCTCAAAATTGTAGCGAAATTATAAAAATTGCCTGCCCCCAGACAACGAGCACTTTGGTTGGCTGCTTTTTGGCTGCTTTCCATGAATGCAGCTTCGCTTTTTGCCGGTCCTTTTGAGCCACATTTGCTCATATGTAAAGTGAATTGTTTGGCCGGATTTGGGGAGTCGGTCTGAGTGGCTGCCTGACTGGCTTGCTGGCTGGACGGATTATGAGATCGCTTTTTTTTTGTCGGTTAGTGTAACAGAGTACATCAGCTATACAAAAAACTATCACATTAAAAAACAAACAGTTTATCATATTACAAAGCCACATTAGCTCAGTAAATCATTAACCTTAATGGGATTAACATTTGTTAGTTAAAAAATACAGAGTTTGTTTCATCAAGCATTAAACATTTCACGAAATCAATTTATAGTTTATTCCTTTTCTGATTTCTTAAATTCGACTTACATTTTGTAGTGTAGGATAACATGCATTCGACTTGAGTCAACCCACTCAATTTTTTTCGGTTTTTTGTTAATTTTATTTTCCGTTCTCATATGTGAAGTGGTTTTTTGCAAGTAGCAGCCACCCAAACTGCGACTGGGCCTGCCCAATTTCGAGGGCTGGTTTTGGCGCTTTTGGCAGACGCTGTTTAGCCTGCAGTAATTTCTTAATTAGCTTGCGAACACAATGTGCTTATATACCATATAATATGGTCTTTGTGCATATATATCATGGTTTTTGTAACACTTTTTGTTGGCCCTGGGTTATGCGGCAGTATGGTGTGGTGGCGGTCCACCATTTGCCAAAGCCAAGCGGCTGGGTACTTATTTTAATTGCAGCCTTTTGGGGCATGAAGTGGCGCAGCTTAGCGTACAGTTTCCCAACTATAAGTATATTTGAGCAAGTCATTTTTAGGAATGGCACAGAGAATTGTCCAAAATTATTGTGTATATGTATGTATATTATTTGATATGAAATACAATTTATAATCCCCTACTATTGATTTAAAGAAACACAATTTAGTCTTTTAATACTAACATCAATAATCCGCTAAGACTTTTATGATTCAGGGAAAGTAAAGCTGATTTTTGACAAAACTAAGAACTGAATGCGTTCCCCCAACAAGTTTTCTGCCTCACTTGCCATTATGTTTATCTATTTTCGTTGACAGTTCAATTAAGTACAATGGCCACAACAGTTAAATTACGCTTAAAAAAAGGACTCGCACACACAAGGATTGCCATTTTTGTGGTTCGCCTGTGTTGTTTTTTTTCCGTTTGCTTTGGAGTGTCAGTTCGGACATTATGCCTGTCGCTCTTTGTACTTTATTATCCATTTAGCACATTTATTTTTATTTCCCATTCGGCGTCTGCTGTTGTGGTTGCTGCCAGTGTCCTCGCATTATCCTTGTTCCTGTTTCAGTCGTTACGGCCGCTGGTCAGCCCGCAAATGTGGGCAATTTTTGCTCAACGCGATGTTCCTTTTTTTTATGGACTTTATTTTTTACCAGTTGTTCGGTGTGGTGTGAGTGTGTGTGTAGTGTAGTGCGTAGTTTTCGAGGGGGTGATGGCGAGTCCTTTTCCTGCCATTCCTGTCACTATAATAGGCTCATCAGCGTTGCGTATTTTTTATTGTAATGCCGTTTTTATTTGCGATTGAGGTGCTTTAATCAACTGACAGTTGTGTACTTGCGAATGTTTTATGACCCTAAATGGCTAGCGGGGAAAAACGAGTGCAATATCAATTCTAAGTGGTCATAACTATTATTTTACTCTCTTCACAATGTGCAGCAACATAAATCATATAGTTTTAGAATCATCTAATATCACAACTCAAATTATCAAAAATTATATCTATGCGAATTTAAAATGGTTCAGCTAACACTTTGCAATTGTTTATCTAAATGTATCTTAATATCTCAAACTTAATTTTAGTAATATTTTCTCACTTTAAAATCCTCATCCTTTTTCCCTTTTGCACTGGTTGACAAAATTTCCCAGCACCTCGGAAATTCCGCTGTTGCAAGATGAGCCTAAGCCGTTTAACTAGTAATTACAACACAACAGGCACTTACGGCCGAATCGGCATTAGTTTCCGATTGCAGCGCCGATTCGCGCTCACAATGGCATAATCAAATTCCATCTCATTACGCGCCATATTGTTGTAAACTAATGCAATAACACAAACAATGTAGACCTCGAATTTCACCCGACTGCCGGGGGTTTCCACCGAATCGAGTAGAAAAGTGCAAGCGCGGCAAGTCGCTGGCTAATTACGTGCACTTTGCCGCTCGAATTACAGCTCCTATCCACGGAGGCCACCGGAAGCGTCCTGTTTGCGAGGCGTCAACTGTCACACACTGGCAAACACACTCACACTCGTTCGCAGGACGAACCGCTCCCCGCTTCTCGCTCCCAGCCAAATTCGAATCCAATTGAATAACAATAAAATCCGTACTGCGCTGTTTGGTTATCCGATGCCCGGCCATTGTGTTTTTCTGGCTCCTGAATGGCGTCTACCTACAAATTATGTAGGCCGTGACGATTGCGAGCCCCGCATTGCGTAACAGGAAGTCAACAATGACGTACCAGGAGCAGTGCATCCACGTCCTCATCCACACCGAACGGATGTGACCAGGATACAGTGTGTAAATGGTTGTAAAACGCTTTTCAAATCGCACCTCCTGCCCCGCTGATTTGCTCCCGCTGTTGTTATTGTCGCCGGGCCGCCGTGCTATTTAATGTCATTTAGCCTGCGGCCAAATCAGCGCTAAGCGAAGCTCCGTTCAACCCACTCCGATGCACTTCAAAAAAATATGTTGCTAAATATATAGAAAGTGTAAAAAAATAGAAAATAATCATAAAGTAAAAAAAAATAATTTTGCCCGAAAATGATTTAAGACGACATTAAAACGATGATTCCAACTACTTAACAAGGTATTTCCAGAAATCTCGAGACCTTTTGATTAATATCAAATGTACTTGTAAGCTTGCATAAAATTAAAATAATAATAACCTAAAAATGTAGTTAGACTTAGGCTAGACATTAATTAATTAATTTGAAGCAACCAAAATACACTTACAAAACACAAGAAGTATTTAATTCCTTCTTTCAGTTACTTTTGTAAGACTTGAAAGAGCATGGCTATAAATAATTATCATTAAAAAATCATTGTCATTATTGAACATTTTGTTTTCTTTTGTGCATATAAGGGCATTCTTTCTAATATTTCTGTCCAATCTGAACCTTTCTCCAGATCGACGCAACCCGTTTTTTTGTTGCCTTGACAGCCACCGGAAGGGCTTCATTACAATTACACTTACACACCCTTCCACCCTCCGCCCTTCACCCCCTTCCCACACCCATGTGAACAGAACCATCAGAATCATTTTAATTGCAAAAAATTGAACAAAGTTTG